GATCCTCTTGCCTCAGTTTTTCTATTTTTAGTAGAGACAAGATCTTGACTCTTGCTCAAGGTGGTCTTGAACTCATGCGCTCAAGCAATCCATCCACCTCGGTCTCCCAGAGTGCTAGGATTACAGGTGTGAGGCACCGCACCTGACCTCCTCAAGCTTTTCTTGGACATGTACGACAATAGCAGGGTGGGTGGCTCTCAAGATATAACAGTGGTGATGTGACTTAACATGAGTTTTGGCTGATTTTTAAATCAGGTGTGACTTTGTTTGGCAAGTCCTGGAGGATTCACTCAACATATTCTGTGCCATTAGAGTGATTTAGGATCAATGCGTTATTGTTAGCATCTAATACAATCTGTTTTCTTTTGTCTGTCCCCTTCCCTCAGGCTTCCACCATGTTACGAGCTTCCTTGGCACCCGTGTAAGTAACTCCTCATAGGAATTTTTATTAAGGAGAACAGGAATGTCTAAAACTGGAATTCAAACTATCTTTAATAAACACATATCTTAGCAGCCTAGTTTAGAATAATGCCTTTGAACTAGAGCTACACGTGGATATTAAAGGAAATACTAGTACTGATAAGTAATAAGTAATGTTGAACTGGAATTATCTTTTAATGTTAATTCTATTTATTTTGTTAAGGTAGCATCAAATAGAAAAAGACTGTTGAATTATTCTTGTGGTATTCTATAGAAATGAATTTAATCTGCTGTCATAGTGTAATCAATAATCAATAGTATTGCAGTCCCCAAACTTTATGTTCTCTGCTGGTTCATGCTGTGACCAGGGCCATGGGATAGCTTTGGTTGTTACCCAGGGGAGTGTCTCACACATGTGCATTTCATCAGGTATGTGTGCTCTACCAGTAAGGAAGTTGAAGACCTTTGACTTGAACATGAAAACTAGGATGGAGTCTGGTGAACCTCTGAGTCAGCTGTGTGTGTGTGTGTATAGGGGGAATGGAGCTATGAGATTCCTCAGACACCTGAGACAGCTACAACATTCCTCCTCCTGTAGCCCTGCCTGTGTCTGACATTGACCTGCACTTTGTTTTCTCCTGCCACTTTGGCAGCTGTATAGCATAGTGCTTACGAGTGTAGACAGTTAAAATCCCACCTTCGCATCCAGCTCTGTTACCTTGGCCTACTTCTCTGTGCCTCAGTTTCCTCACTTACAAAATGAGAAGAAGAGTAATCCTTTTATAGGATTGTTGTGAAGATAGAAGTCCCTGGACAGTGCCAGGGACACAGCAAATACTCCCAGGATTTGCTGATATTATTCTCAGTGACATAAGAGGCAAGGTCACCTGCAGAGAGAAAAGGGGGAGGGGGCAGAGAAGAGAAGGCCAACACAGTCTCCTTGGACAGCAGGAGAGTGGCTGGATCACAGAAGTATAGAGCTATTGAGGAGTGTAGTTGCTGGTAAATTTAATTAGTAATAAACTTAGTTGGTAATATTACTTTTACTGTCAAGTATAGATGGTCTAAATATGATAGTGTTTCTTCCCTTCAAAAGACTCACTACAGCTGCAGAACATATTAAACTTGGCTTTACCATGGAACTTCTTTGTCTAAAACAATAGCCCATTTAAATTTAAAAGCTTTTAAAATTTTTCTTGTTAAAAAAATAAAAATAAATAAAAAATTTGTCATGTTAAAATAACTTCAGAGCTGCAAAATTAGTATGAAGAATTCTTACCCTTTCCCCAGATTTCCCAGTGTTAATATTTTATACAAGCTGCCTTGGTGCCCATAGCACAGTGGTTATGGTTCCAGCTACATACACCAAGGGTGGCAGGTTCAAACCCGACGCAGACCAGCTAAACAACAATGACAGCTGCAACAAAAATTAGCCGGGCATTGTGGTGGGCACCCGTAGTCCCAGCTACTTGGGAGGCTGAGGCAAGAGAATCGCTTAAGCCCAGGAGTTTGAAGTTGCTGCGAGCTGTGATGCAACTGCACTCTACACAGGGCGACATAGTGAGACTCTGTTTAAAAAGAAAAAAGAAAATTTTATACAAGCACAGTAGTTAACATTGATACAGTATTGTCATGTAATCCCCAGACTTTATTCACATTTTATCAATTGTTCCATTATTTTGATTTAGTTATCATGTCTTCTTAGTTTCCTTTGATTTAAAATCATTCCTCAATCTTTGTCTTTTATGCCTTGACACTTTTGAAGAATACAGGCCAGTTATTTATAATAAAAATTTTAAAATTGGCTCTATTAATTTTTAAAGTCAAGATAGTGTCTGCCTCAGGAAAAACATTGTCAAAATAATCAATGTACGCATGTCCATGAGTTTACTATTTGACGTAACAGTAGGAGACACTCTCCCCAAGAGTGTTTATTGAGGTCTCATTTGTTGCCCTCTTTTCTGGCCCTTTCTTCTGGACCCTCTAAGAAAATCTCATTTTATCTTTTAAAAACTAACATTAGAAAAAACTAGCATGTAGGCTGAGTGTGGTGGCTCGTGTCTATAATCCTAGCACTCTGGGAGGCTGGGGTGGGTGGATTGTTTGAGATCATGAGTTCGAGACCAGCCTGAGCAAAAGTAATACCCCATCTCTACTAAAAATAGAAAAACTGAGGCAAGAAGATCCCTTGAGTCCAGAGTAGGAGATTGCTGTGAGCTATGACTCCATGGCACTGTACTCAGGATGACAGCTTGAGACTGTCTCAAAAAAAAAAAA